TAACCGGACATAGCGGCAGCTATAGTCGGAGATTTAAAACAACCCTGATCCTATCACAACATGGAATTCAAGGTCAAGCCAGTACACTAACTGCTTCACGAGTGAGAAGCCAACTGAGAAATAATTAACACTTAATTTGCCGATTCCAAAAAAGAGTCACAGGAAGTACAAGATAGGTTACTACTACTCCCTCCGTTCCAAAACACGTTACATTTTGGGACAGATCAAGCTAAGGGCTTCTCCAGTTAATGCACTCGATCCATGTCTATCAGAAAAACAAATTAAAATATACATTGTATAGATGAAATTGGGAATACATACCTTGTACTCCATGTCAGCTATACCTGATGCCAGATCCCCTGCGGAACAAGATAAGACAGGACCATTTCGAAGTACCCACCATCACTCCTAGCTGGCATACAACAACACATCCGAGCAAGTTCTTCCTGGTTCCAGTCTGAAAACTCATTCAGGCCAAAACGGGTCGAGTGCCCTGCGTTGGCAGAATCATCGTTGGCTGCATCAGAAAATCTTGCAACTGACTTGAATATTTTGAATCGCCTAGCCTCCTCCACCTCGTCCTGCTTGTATGTCCTGCCATGCTCCTTCATCCAATCCTTGAACCTTGCCCTTATGGCTTGATCATCCTCCATGTACTCTCGAACCACGGTCTTCTCGTCAGGCGTTGTTTCGTTGTAAGACGCCCTCTCTCGTATCAAGTCTTCCATCAACTGGTTGGAACGGAAGTAAGGATTTGTCTTAGTGGGTGTGTCCTCCTTCCGAGCTTCGTCTACGTACAGACAGTATGAACTCGTGAGGGTTGAGGGCAATGTAACATAAAAGGAAAGCTTCCCGGCGAAAAACATAAAAGGAAAGCTAAAGACGAGAAATCTGAAGGGTGTTTAACATGTAGTATGAGGAGTGGGTTCTAATCTCTTGAGGGGTTATCCCTTCGTGTGTGCTTTTTTTTTCAAAATTCGATACAAATAGTTGTGAAAAAATCTGAAAAAAATATCGACAATGTAGAGTACAGTGATATGTATCGGTCCATTAAAAATCAAGTTCAAATTCAATCTACACATCGAAAAGACAAAATTAGACGTGAACAGTACATTGCTATTCATACACTGAATTTGTCTTTCTTATACGTCGACGTGTGACTTGAGAGTTTGGAGCCAAGATTTTATAAAGTTGTATATAGGGGTGGAAACGAGCCGAGCCGAGCCAGGCTCGGCTCGGCTCGTGGAAGCTCGCGAAATGCCAGGCTCGGCTTGGCTCGGCTCGGTTCTCCAACCGAGCTGTACTTTAGGCTCGGCTCGGCTCGTGGTCTGGCTCGAGCCGGCTCGAGCTGGCTCGTGAGCTTTGCAATAGCAGCAGTTGTATTGCCAGCAGCAGTTGTGTTGCTTTGCAATGACTTGGTTATTCAGATAATAACTCTCAAGTCCCTACAAAGATAATTAGGTATATTGTATGCAGCCAACATATAACAAATTGATGGGCTTTTTTGGTTTTCGGCCAGAAGTCTTTCTATTCAAACCGAGCCTACTAAGCTCGTGAGCTGCTCGCGAGCTGGCTCGGGCTCGGCTCGGTTCACAAACGAGCTAAAACCCAGGCTCGGGCTCGGCTCGTTCAGGATTCGAGCCGAGCCGAGCCAGGCGAGCCCGAGCCGAGCTTGAGCCGAGTTCACGAGCCCGAGCTATTTGTCCAGCCCTAGTTGTATAGATATTTTGTATGAGTGTTGTCAAAATTTTCCAGAATTTTTCATAACAATTTGGATGACTTTTAAGCAAACGAGGGTACATTCTTATGCGATCGAAATAATTTCCCATAACCATTGATGGTTATATATGAAACATGCAGTCAAAGGCAGCTAGTTTCACATGGAGTACCTAAAAACTCACCTGTATCTTGCATCAAATGCAAAATTCCAGCAACCGCAGAGAAAACAACAACAGACAACGTAGCGGTAGCAGCGTCGGCATGTTCCGAGACCACATCCCTCTGCACCACGAGGAGGAGCAACATGAGCTTAGCTGGAAGTAAAACAAGGCTTAGATAGATATATACATCCATCCATCCGAGACAAACGATGAAGGGAATTTACCAAGTCGTGGAACCGGCGTGCTGATCTCCTCCCCGCCGGCGACCCCAGAGACCCCTGCACAACGATAAATTAACGAACGAAATAACGGGAGCAAGATGGAAACACGCGCGTGAATGTGTGTGTCTGTGGGATTGAAAAAGGAGGGAAACACACACACACAGCAAGATTTGAAAGAAATTTACCATGCTGTGCAGACAACGGGATGATCTGGCGGCGAAAGCAGAGGTGTTGGCCGCCACAAGACTCTTACGACGGGCATCGGAGTAGAAGAACAGCGCGTTCCTCTGCGAGAATAATTATGAGCCGCTAGCGGAGAAAGCATACGATGTATAGATCTGAGATGAGAAAAGATCAAAAGAAGCAGATTACTACTCCCTCCGTCTCAAATTATAATATCTATATTTTTTACACGATTTTCAATGGCATATTTTGACTATTGGTTTATTCATGTTGCGTTATTAACGAATTTGAAATTAGAGTGAAAATATGAATCTAGCGATATATCATGTATTATGATTAATATAATTATTAGTTAAAAGTTTCTGAGTTTGATTTACCAGGGATAGTAGACGATTAGCGATTCCCGATCCCGGCGAGGAGGAGGAACAGCGGATACTCCCGCGAACGAGAGAGCCCAGCAGCGACAACGACCTAAAACCCATATGCCTACCGCTCGCTCGATCTGTCTCCCCGTTGCCTCTCCGATCGATCGCCGCCTCAAACTTGTAGGGTTTTGGAAAGATGCAGAGGGCGCTCGAGGCGTCGAGGTCCACGTACGGGGCCCTGCCCGAACCAGTTTTTTTTTTTTTAGAATTACACAGTATAACGCAGATACTCACAACGCACGCGCACTCACCCCTATGAACACGCGCACGCAAACCCTATACCTATGAGCATCTTCGAAGACTGGGCTGGCAAATCTTGGAGAGATTGACGAAGTCACCACAGGCGCCTCGCTGTCGACGGGTACGTCGCCTACCACTGAAAGCACAATGCCGTTAAATCCTGAAAAATTCGCTCCCACGGGGAGTCGAACCCAGGACCTCAGGTGCTACTGAGGCTCTCCCGCCCGAACCAGTTTGATGAGGCAGGCCTATGATGGGTTCAATTCAGATTCAGGGTCGCCGCGCCAAATGTGTAGTTTGCCAATTGACCTGGATTCGTGCGTACTACTCCATGATGTATATGCAGCTTCTTGTTGCTTAGTTACATGCTTCCTTCGACTTGTGTACAGATTATTAGATTGCATTATGTTGCTTCACGATGACAGGACCTAGTTAACCGATCAATTAGTAGATTGAAAACGATTTTCTGACTCGATGGCGAGTGTTCAATTACATGTTTTGAAAGCATTCAAGCCAGTCCGAAAATATTTTTGTTTTCTAAAAAAACAACCAATGATCGAAAGATTGCACACCAATATTGTTTGATGCCAATTGATCTACTGATCCACTTGCCACATAGGGCAGCTATTACTCCCTCTGGAATATAAATGCAACCTAATACAAATGTAATATATTATATAACTATAAATCTAGATAACTATCTGTCCAAATTTATAATCTTAGGATATGTCGCATCTCTATTACACTACAAGAAAAGGCATTTTTGCCGATGTTGGATACTTATTTTCGCAGGTGGACATAACCTTCGGATACAAATAGCCGTCTACGAAAATGTAAATCGGGGTGAAACCCGCTGCCCGCCTGCGAAAATCCATTTTTGCATGTGGACCACTTAAACGGTCTTCCTGCAAAAATACCCTTCATTTTTGCAGGCGGACCTCCGCCTGCGAAAATACATAGGAAATATAAATAGAGGCTGCATACCCTAGATTTTTTTCTAAGTCCTCTTTGCCTCACCTCTCCCCTCCCCGCACCTCTCCTCCTCTCCCCGGCGCTGATGGCAGCGGAGGGAGGCGGCTACCGGGGGAGGCGGCGGCGGAGGGCGGTGGCCGGCGGCACTCCCCTCCCTCACTCCCTCCCAGATCTAGCCTGAGGGGGGCGGGGGGAAGGCGGTGGCCACGCGTACGGCGGCAGTGGAGGGCGGCGGCTACCGGCGGGAGGCGGAGGGTGGCGGCGAGCGGCGGCGGAGGAGGGTGGCGGCGGCTCCCGGCCCCTCCCTCCCTCCCAGATCCAGCGGCGGAGCATGCTACTGTACTCTTGCTCTATTATGTACACAAGCAAAAAATTTCCATCTCGAATGTAATCCTTTATTTTTGTTGCACGACACCACATTTGACAATTACAATCACCTCAACCAATCCTATGTGAACGACTTCGATGACCAGTACAAATATCACTAGAAAGAGCAGCATCTTAGACTGTGTTTAGTTCACACCAAAATTGGAATTTTGGTTGAAATTGGAACGATATGATGGAAAAGTTGAAAGTTTGTGTGTGTAGAAAAATTTTGATGTGATGAAAAAATTGGAAGTTTGAAGAATAACTTTGCAACTAAACACGGCGTTAATGTAAAACTGCTTAAACGTTTCGCTGAAACCTGAATAGATTTTCCCTCACTAAAAGCACACAGCTCCAGTACTCTCAACTGAAGCCAGCGCCTTCTTGCTGATCCAGTAGATCTGAGTGAGCCGTCTTCTCATGTCTATATGAATGCCTAGCATGTGGATGATGGGAACATAGTGTCTCCATACGGAAAACAGAGCGATCTATTAGCACGTGATTAATTAAGTATTAGCTAATTTTTTTAAAAAAATAGATTAATTTGATTTTTTTAAGCAACTTTCGTATAGAAACTTTTTACAACAAACGCACCGTTTAGCAGTTTGAAAAGCGTGCGCGCGAAAAACGAGGAATTTGGGTTGGGAAACTAGAGGTCCGAACACACCCAAAGCAATTTTCTATTTCATTCACCCTAAAATATAGCAAACGTAGAACTAGCCAGTTTAAATTCATACTATAGGGTAGATATCCAATTTAAAACGAATAAAAGGCTCAATTTGCTCTCTAGTTGCCACGACCATTTAAGATCCATGCAAATTTCATTACAGTTGACTAGGATTAGTGGGGTCAACGACGTGGCCGGCGAAGAGCACCGCACCCGACGACTCCTCCACTACAAAGAAGGCGAACGGATGGTCGGCGACGAAGTCCACCGGCGCCGGCGCCGGAGATGGCCGCCTCGCCCTCCCTTTCATAATAACCACCGTGGCCGCCGCCACCTCCGTGCCCTCCTCGTTCACCTCGATCGCTGCCCCATGCAGGACGTCCGACACGAACAGCGGCGGATCGCCGGAGTTGCCCTCCTCCAGCACGTCGGACAGGTCGGCCGCTGCCGGATCGAACACGGCCCTGACCCCGACACCCTGGAGCGCGGTCTTGATGCTGCCGTCGAAGGAGAGCTTGAACCTGGGGATCCTGAACTCGCCGACCTTGACGCGCTTCTCCGGCATGTGCTCCCGGAGGAAGACCTCGCCGCCGCCGGCCTCCATCCTGTCGGCGAGGGTCCACAGCCCGTTGCGCTTGTCGGGGAGGAAGACACACAACGAGTACTGCGGTTGCGTGTGCGTACGGGAGGCACGCGTGTTGTACGGCATCTTGAGCACCTTGAACCCGTCGTACGCGGCGACGTACTGGTCGTCGCCGCTGCGCATGAAGTCTGCGTCGACGTCGCCGCCGCCGCCGAGGATGTGGAACTTGTCCTTCTTGGTGTCCTGCTTGCGGAATGGCGTCTGCCATGTGGCGTTGAAGTAGATGGCGCTGGCGACCACGAGCCGCGTGTCCGTGCTCACCGACCCCGGCGGGAGGATCGTGTCGATGAGGTTCTCCGTCGCCGCCGCGACCCAGCTGTTGATCTCGTTCCTCGCTTCCTCCGGCTACACGCGTCGCGCATGTCCGTTTCAATGGAGATCGTCATTCGTTAATGGCGTGACATTAGATTGATATAGATCGATGATTCGATCACTTACGTTGGCGAGGAAGTCGACGGCGCGCGTCGTGGCTTGGAAGGACGCGGCGGCGGCGTCGCGGAAGGCCGGCTTGACGTTCCTCCTCCGATCGTGCCAGAGGCCGCACGCGTGCGCGACGCGGGGCCCGCCCGTCGCCGTGCCGGAGCCGCCGGGGAGGGCGCGCACGATCTCGCCGGCGTCCTCGGCGAGCGCGTCGCGGGAGGACGGCGCGCCGAGGGCGGCGAGCAGCTCGGCCAGGGTGGTCCCCCGCGCGCCGGCGGTGACCACGGTGAGCGCGGAGTAGATGGACAGCGGCGAGAACACGAGGTTGCCGCCGCCGACGCTGTCCTCCTCCAAGGACAGACGCTCGGCGAGGCGCAGCGCCATCCCCGCCAGGCCGGAGGCGGCGCACCGCCGCGAACACGCCTGATCCGTGGCCGAACTGTTTCCTCCCTCGCTTCTTGGAGAGCCCGATTCCGGTCGAACACCACCAGTCCACCACCGCCTGCTTCCACTACGGCGAGCGATCTCCCCGAGACGGCGGATCATCGAGCGAGGCGAGAGGAGAATTCGAGCGGAGGAGGAGGAGGAAGAGGATCCGATTCCAGGAGAGGCTACACAGATCAGAAACGCGTGGAAATCACGAACCAATCTTGCAGAACGGAAGAGAGAAAAAAAGGGGGAAAAAATTAAACGTGGGGAAAAAAAAAAGATAAACCAGGAATCCGGCCGGGAGCACGTACATGGGAAGCGGGGCTGGAGCTGGTCGTCGTGGAAGAGCTCGCCGCCGGCGAGCACAAGCACCGCAAGCACGTAGACGAGGAACAACACGACGAGACCCTGGATCGCGCACCACCGCCGGCGCGGCGCCCCGGCCGCCGGTGGAGTCGCCATTGGACGGGAGGAGACGCAGGAAAGTTTTACTACTAGTAGTACTGTAGTAGGGACGAGGAATTACGGGGGGGCGTGTGAATGTGGGCGTGGACGCGGTGTATGCACTCCTCTCACGTGCAATGAGAGACTCCAAGGCTAAGGTATTGTCATTTAGAGCGTGGACCGTGTCCACGGGGGATAAACGCGTGGACAGGTTGTGACTGCTGCTGTTTCGGTGAGCAATTGGGCATTCCGTTGGGTGGTGCGGTGGGGCCACCCTTTTGACCTGTCTAGTACTCTAGTCAACACCTGAGGTTGACCTGTTTAGGGCTGTGTTCACCATTGCTTCCCTACCGGTGTACGTACGGAAAACGGAGCGGTTTATTAGCGCGTGATTAATTAAGTATTAGCTAATATTTTTTAAAAAATAGATTAATTTGATTTTTTAAACAACTTTTGTATATAAACCTTTAAAAAAAATACACCGTTTAGCAGTTTGAAAAACTCGCGCATAGAAAACGAGAGGAGGGATTAGGAAGAGGGGCAGCCGAAGACAGCCAATTGTTTGCTTGCCGGTATAGTACGAAAAACCATGAATCGGGCACCTGGGTTTACGGGGTCCGCTGGTCAAACTATGAATCGAGCACCAGGTGGTTAAACCGCGGTTCAATTTTTATATATAATATATGTTAAAGCTATAAGGCAACTGCTAGGACAGCCGGATTCATGTGAGGATATATTTCTTTCATTTTTTGCCAACTGAGTGTGCATGGCAGACTAATTGGGCCACATTAAGGCCATTAAACGACTGTTGTGGCCTCATCAGGTTTAATCGGTGCTGGTTTAATAGCCGGTTCAAGGTAGTTTTACATGTATGTCTGGTCTTACATTCGAACCGAACCTTGAAGATCTTTGGTTTCGATTTTTTCCAGTTGAACGGTCGGTCCGATCTGATTTTTTTTTACTATGAATTGACAGTGACAGTTGTCAATCTGACATATATTATGGATGGCAATTTTCACGACATAACTGACAGTCTCACAAAATATTCAATATGACAAATATTACAGTTGGTCATTCATCTCATCGAAATTAAAATACTAACCACAAAATGCTGAAGGGATAATTCATTCCATTCATTTAAGATTTTGAACAAACATACATACACAACAAAAGATCATTCCTGTGCCATATAAATTTCAGATAACACAAAAGGCGAGGCAAACAGAATATCCATATCGATCTAGCCTGAACCAGATAAGAGCAAGGATAATAAGAACACCAGCAGTGGGCGTTATACTAGTGACACATCACCTAAAGCCTTCACTTATATAATAGGCCGGCTGATAGGTTGGTGGTTAATCTACCTTTGATAAATATTTAGGTATTTAATGCATGCATGAGATATGATCTATTGTGGCTATTTCATCAAACAAGATACACATGCTCATGGACTGTGGTGTTGCTGGGGGAAACCTGGCTCCAGTCTCTAGATCTGTATGTGAAAGGAAGGATGGCAGTAGGACGATCTGAGGTGGCGGCGGCGTGACGGGCTGAGTCGCCGGCGGCGAGACCTCCAGAGACGCTGGTACAAACGTCCTCTTGCTTTGCCGTTCAACCTTGCTGTGGTTGCTATGGTTTGGGGACAAATGGCGTCTATGGTTTGGAGGAGGCAATTTGAGGACGAATTTGGTGGCATGGGGATGGATTTGAGTGTTTTATACTATGAATTGTAGCAGGGGGGACTCGATTTGGAGGGAGGCTGGGGCAATTTTCCGCGTAGAGGAGGCGAGCTAGGGAAGAGGGCGGCGGCAGAGATGCATGGGATCGGAGGGAGGAACAAAGCAGCGGCTTAGAGCACCCGCAATAGTAAAGTAAGGTGCTATCTATAAAATATGTACATCTCAGCAATAGACTAGATTAATAGTAAATCACTTTAATGGTATGTCTATATGGGTATCTATAGCTCTCTAATGCATTGCCTCGTTTTTCTCTATAGACTATCTCCAGATTAGTAGATAGCTTTGCTCTCTCTCTTCATTGAATCTCTTCCAAGTAAGAAAATATGCTGGCATGGATCTCTTGTAGAGAGCCCATAGATAACCATTGTGGGTGCCCTTAGAGCACCCGCAATGGTAAAGTAAGGTGCTATCTATAAAACATGTACATCTCAGCAATAGACTAGATTAATAGTAAATCATCTCAATAGTATGTCTACATGGGTATCTATATCTCTCTCATGCATTGCCTCGTTTTTCTCTATAGACTATCTCTAAGTTAGTAGATAGTTTTGCTCTCTCTCTTCATTTAATATCTTCCATGTAGGAAAATATGCTGACATGGATCTCTTGTAGAGAGCCCATAGATAACCATTGTGGGTGCCCTTAGAGCACCCGCAATGGTAAAGTAAGGTGCTATCTATAAAACATGTACATCTCAGCAATAGACTAGATTAATAGTAAATCATCTCAATAGTATGTCTACATGGGTATCTATATCTCTCTCATGCATTGCCTCGTTTTTCTCTATAGACTATCTCTAAGTTAGTAGATAGTTTTGCTCTCTCTCTTCATTTAATATCTTCCATGTAGGAAAATATGCTGACATGGATCTCTTGTAGAGAGCCTATAGATAACCATTGTGGGTGCCCTTAGCGCTCGCACCGGGCTGGAAAGCGAGAGATTTTTCTCGGACGATGCGCTTCAACCGAGCGATAGAGGAGCCGCCCGCTTCATTCTCTCTCTTCTCTTCTCACTCCTCCACCTAGGATTTTGATGACATGGCAAACCCTTCAGCCTGCTGATTAGGACTTATTATACCTGCTCTAAGCAACAGAGCAAATAACATCACTACACAGGCCGTGTTTAGTTCTTTAATATTTTTTAAGTATGTGGACCCATATGTTTTTCGGACCAAGCCTGTCTCATTGAGGCCAGACTTTCTTCTTTTTTACTCTTATGATGGGCTTGGACCTAATTCAAATGAAGGGCATCTACGCTGTAGCAAGAAAACATGGACCATGCAAATATAAAATTTCTATACCAAATATTTCCGTGTATTTCTCTCAAAGAAAATTATGTGTATAAATTTGTATACTAATTGTTTCTATGTGTAAAATTGCTACAGCAAATTTTTCCATGGTGTAAAGTTTGCATACTAAATGTGTTTATGTGCGTAAAATCCCTACACTATTTTTTCTATGGTATAAATTTTATATGTGCAAAGTCTATAGGTATATAGTATATGCCTACAAAGTTTATACACACAAATGAATTAGGCTAAAATATTGTGGGTTGTATCTATTGGGCTGCAAGCGAACGAGCCAGCTAGCACGTCGGTCGAAAGTAAAAGGTGCCCACGCACACGGACTGGACTTGTCGGAATTTACCCTCTATTGTGTTCATGCTACGCGAACATTCGTATACTAGACGCGCCCCTTCTGCACTGTGCTTCGTGTACACTGCGCGCAACGATAAGTTGATCAATCTCAACTCTAGCATTGACAAGGGATGCTCTTATTTTAGAGTTCTCTATCTTCAAATCATGAACAGTAGAAGGGAAATCCAAAACAGCCCTCGCGTCGCCCTCGCGCGGCTGCTCGGGGGCGAAACCCTAGCCGCCGCCGCCCCTCCTCCTCCCTCCTCCGTGCTTCGCCGCCGCCGGAGCTCGTCGACGGCAAAGCCGGGCGACGCGCTGGGATGGCGGCGGCGGGGCCATCATCCTCGGCTCCGTCTCGTCCCGGCGCGGGCGTGGCGACGATGGCGGCGGGACGGCGAGGTCGTGGCGATGGGACTGCGCGGCGGTGGGGCTCTCCACCGCGACGGTGGCGCGGCGGTGGGGCTCCCCGTGGCGGTCGGCTCCAGCGACGGCGACGGGCGACGGAGTCGCCAGATCCGGTTGCCCCTCTGGCCGGGGTGACCGGTGACGGGCTTGGTCGACTCCGACGCCGCTCGGGCGTAGGCGGATGGACCGGTGACGGGCTTCTCCGGCGTGGGCTCGTCGGCGACCACGGCATCGGGTCGGCGGCGGCTCGCATTCGTCGGCGGCGGCTCCAGTCCGGCTCTCGGTGGCGCGCTCCGGCGCCGGCTGCCGCTGACCTGGCTGGGGGCTGCCGACCTGCTGCGATTTTGCCGGCGACGGGGACGGCGCCTCCATCTCCCTCACTCCTATTTCTCCAAATCCGGTTCCCCTCTTCTTTAGTTGTTCGTCTTCCAGTGCTCACCGGCGGTGTGGCGTCCGCTGCCCTCTTCTTAGGTCCTCCTCCCTTCTTAGGCTAGGCTGCTTCCAGTCATTGCCGGGGAGCTCCTTTGTGTGGTAGGGGTGGCGGGTGGAGTTGGTTTCCGGCGTCCTGTCTCGCTGGTCGTCGGCCGCGCCGTAGGTTTGCTGCAGTTGGGTTCCTGTGTGTGAGGTGATCTCTGGTCGAGCTGCAATGTGATTGACTGTTGAGGCAGAGTCGGAGCTGCTTGTCTTGCAAGCTCGGCAACGATGACCCTCAACAGACGTCCAGGCAACACGATGAGGGTTTGGTGGTGGAGCAATTTGAGAGAGTCTCGGGTGAAAACCTTGCCTAGTGTTTTTCTAGGTTGATGATATCAACGCTTGTGGGTGCCGTTTCCTCCTTGGAGGTATCATCATGATGGCTCTCTCTCCCTTCAGGTGAAAACTGGGTTCCTTTTGGAACGGGCGTTGACAGCATTATTGATGTTGTTCCCTTGTCGAAGGCTTCGCTCAGAAGATTTCTGCTCCGCTAGAGGATGTTTGGTGGTTCTGGAGACCTCGTGCATTATGTTGTCGAAGCTGCTTGCCTTGGGCAAGCTCGGCAACGATGACTTTTGTGAGGTCTCAATAGTTGTTTTCTTTTCCTTTTCTGTATAGGTTTTCGCCGGTTTCCCATTTAATTAACCGTGCTTGTTTGGTTTTTGGGCCCGGTTTCTCTTATTAACTGGGCCAATTCTCTTCTTCTATAAATTCCGGCAGGAGAAACTCCTGTCGTCGGTTCCTCAAAAAAAAAAAATCATGAACAGTGTAGACAAATACGGCGTTGTCACCGGTTCATATCACTACCAGATATTGCATCCATCATTTTGCTCATTCAAAAA